GGTTATATTTTAAACATATTGTTACGACATGTACAGGCGCGGTAAGTTGGCTTCCCCGCAAAGTAGTTTTAGGGTTGCCATACAATGGCAAGTGAAGGCAGGGTTGCCACATTTGGCAAGAAATCGTTCATTTGGCGACAGAATTGGCGATATGCTATGGCCGGATAGAGAACCTTCTGGAACGAATTCTTAGTGGTTTAGCCCAGAATGTTCTGAAACACAAGCCAAAAGCTATATTCCCTGCTGGCCTGCAGTCAGTGTCTGTGCCTCGTCAAGTGCGAGATAGTTAGTCTCGAGTGCGAGTCCGTGCGGAGTCGATCGAGTTGACAGCCAGACAGCGAGTGCCGAGTGGGTTGTCGAGTATATCGAAAGCATCTCTTCGTGTATCGTCGAGAAAGTGTGTTGAGCTCCGGGAACGATTGAACCGAAGAGTCGGGAGCTGTGCTCTGTGTGTCGTCGAGTGCATCGCGAGTTGTAGCGTGGAAAGTCTCGAGAGTATGTGGAGTTCCGAAAATGACCGAGCAGAGTCAGGAGCTGTACTCTGGGGATTTGCAGTGAAGCTGTCTCTACCGGTTAGCCTGATAACCTGGAGGCTGTGTTGCTGATTGTTTCAGTCTGGTTTTTTGTAGTTCTTCGACGACTGTGTAAACATGTTTTTGGAGCTGTCCTGATGAATATTGGCTAAATAAAGTGTGTTTTGATACTTCATCAAGTGTCGTCGTTATTCACTCCAAATCTACAAACCCCGTACGAACGTGAAGGAAGAAAATAACGTAACAACTCGTGTCAGGAAATTAACGTAACAATATATTGTTATCACGTTAGCATAGAAATATGGGAAGAATTTTCGCTGCATAATGGGGCATTACATCTGCTTCATCCAACTATAAAATTACAGTTTTTTAATTCCATACACTTTAAAAATCTTTAGAATTATGTCTTACTGTTGCCACCTATTTTTGTTAAATATTACAATCCCATTTATCACAGTCATGTACTATTATTTATTAGTTGTTATAAAATTAATTTTTATAGCATGTGAGAATTCCTAATAAACATTCATTATTGTTAAGTCTTATAATGTATTAAAAAAAATAGCATTATCTTTAGTTTCGACGAACAGGAATAAATAAGGTACTTTTCCGTTTCGCCGGCACAAATCTCGCCAAGCAGACTTTATTGGCGACAACATACGGTATACACATAAAAAATATTTAAAAAATGTTAGTTCTAAGAATTCTTTTTTTGAAGGCATAAACATTTTAATATCGCTTAAAATTTTATAAAAAGCCAATAAATAAAGACAATAAATTTGTAAAAAGACATTAATTTAAGAATTTACTATGCTTTCATGGTTCAACATCCTGATTCGCCTGTTCATATCACGTGAACCCCAACGATCTATCTCATGTAAACTACTCTAACAAAAATCTAATGCTCTCAGTAATTATCTACATTAATTTCAAGTTAAATCTTAATTTGGAAAACAAATTTAAATGCAAGAAATATTTTAATTCGTACGAACGAATAGCTTACACAGAAATTATGTAAAACTGCAGTGCTTTACTTCGTTAATGCATTCTCATTAGAATTGATGAATTTAACCCTTGACTTTACCTTTTCTATATTCATCAGCTTCTGGGTAAGCGTGTGATTGCATCCTGATTGACTTAAACCGAAAATGGCCTTAGACATAAAACTAAACTAGTATCTGATAAAAATTCTATGTAATTATAATGCTAGTATTGAAAGAAACATCAATGATAAGACAAAGTGGCGACTTGTTTTGAAAATGAGGCGTAAAAGGTTACCAGCGAGAATATTCCGTTTGGCATCGGTTGTACCATTATTGGCGACTTCATCGCTTGCGCCGGCAAAACGGAAAAGTACCATAAATAAATAGGATTTGACTTTAATATGTATGGATGAATAAAAAGTATTTTATTAATGATTGAAAATTTGAACAAGATAGGTAGAGGGTGAGCTAATAGTAGAAATTTTTTTGTACAAACTTGTCATGCTCAAGCTACCATCCATCATGATTGAGTTTCTTAAATCCTATCTAAACTGTTGAACATTTCAAGTTGGTGTGGGGGACATTTTATCCAGCAGAAAAATTATACGCTCTCGTGTTCCATAAGAGTCAGTATTTCAACCTCTACTTTTTAATATATACATCAGTGATATGCTGAAATCTCTCAGCAGCAAGATTTGAAAATATGTCAGTGACACCTGACACAGTAGTCAATCAATCCAAATCGCGCAGTAAATCAATCAATCCAAATCATTCTATAGAAAATGTACAACTATGTCTAAATCTCATCTCATATTGATGTAATTTATGGAAATTTAAATTAAATGCAAGTAAATGTAGTATTATATAATTTATGTCGTTATTCACTCCAAATGGAAAACCACCATTTAACCTAAACTGCGAATTGGCAACCAAATTCTCCGATTTGTAAATTCTACAAAATATCTGGGTGTAATCCTAAATAACGAGCTAAATTTTAAAGACCAAGTTAATTATGCCTTAAGCAATGTGGTCTTCATGTCATTGTTTAGCCTCTAGGTTAGGTAACTGAAGCTAAACCTCAGAGTGGAAAGGACTGATTCGTCCATTTCTGTTTTATGCTGTACCGTATACATAACACTTATTCGTCCAATTCTCTTTTATGTACCAGTTTGGGCCACAACACTTAAATCTTACTGCAAGAAACTACATGTTTTTCAAAATAAATTTCTTAGCACATTCGTTCCAAATCAGAATATTCACCACAAGCTTGACATACTTTCTGTTCATGATAACATCCTTGCAAGTTCACATAATTTCTTTGAGAAAACTGCAACCTCTCCTTTTGCCCATATAACCAGCTTAAGGAAATATAATCCCACTGTTAAACATCCATTTAAACATTCTCACACTATTCACCATAATGCTATTTATTAATAGCTAAAGTGTACACATTTTGTCTGTATTACTTGTCACTGTGTTCTTATAGCATCTCTGTTTTTATTACAATATTTATTTCGAATATGTATTTTGCATGTTTTGGACTGTTCAACGCCAATCTTGTTATGTTCCTTAAAGACTTTGCCATCTTATGAAGATTACTGTATTGCAACTTCATTCTAGTTTCAGTTCTGCCTGCCGAGATTTTAACAGCACGAACAGTATTTGTCTCGCCGAATTGACAGCGGCGCTTCACGTTTATTTCTTTGCGCCCACCAAGGGCTTCAGCCATCCAATAACAAGTTAAAACCATTGTGGTTGTATGCCTGTGCTACCATCAGCTATCGGTAACGGTTCTCCTTGTTGGCAGTCAATAATAAACTGGTATATGAGTTATGTCAGAGAACATTAGCACTGGGATTAGGAAGAAATGAGAGGGAGATATATTTTCCTTCTCACATTTCCATATGTACACTATACATTACGGAGTTTCTTGTTGATACACAGTGTTCGCTGACAGGAGAAGTATTGCTTTGTTTAGATTAAATGCAGAATTGTAATAGCATTTCAAATTTGCTGTTTTGGTTTCCATCGGACGCGTTCGGGACTAAAAGTTCTGTGTTTTGGTTAAAACATTGAATAGTTCGAAACGGGTTAGGAATGTTTCAACCTGTGTCCATTAGGAAGTTAGAACTTATTGAACTACTTGTCAAACGTTGTTTGTGTATAGGTATTTCCAGTGGCTTTCGTGTCGTTAAGGTGTAGGTTAATCATAAACGCACCGTATAAGAAAAAAAGTTTCATTGCATAAGAACAGTTACACTGTATATAATCCTTCAGCATGCAAAATAACAACATACATAGTACACACAAAATAATTTTTATTGTATCCAACAAATCTTTGAATTAATCAAACTTAGAATAAATATTAGTCAGTGAGAATGAACTTCAATACAGTCATGTTCGCTTAAATAAAGATGGTCGGAAAGTTTTTTACATATTTAAACGCTGTTTTTCACATCTTTAGTTTTCTATAAACCTATACAAATATTATATATTTAGAATCATATTAAGTTCAGCTATTTTGGGGGGTTCAAAATAAAAAAATTGAAAATTTCAACCATTTTATGTTGTTTGTGCCCATAGCAGGATCTAGAAGTTGTCATACACACATGAGTTTATGTTTTCAAAACAAAAAATGTTTACTTGGTCCCAGGGGTGTAGCTAGAGGGGGGCATATGTCCCCAGGTGCAGAATCCAAGGGGTGCCAAATTGATGTTACGACATTTTAGAATTAAATGTTTCCCATCCTTGGCAAGCAGTAGGGGACGCGAAATCTTCAGTTGTCCCTGGGCACTGAAAACCCTAGCTACGACTCTGCTTGGTCTTTTGCAGAAAGAGAAACCTCCATCTTGAGCCTTCAACGATTACTGATTCTAGTCGATCCGAAGTAAAGTTTTTAGTAGTGATGTTCTAACCAAAACTCACCTCACTTCCTTATATGCTGTATTATTCGAAACAAATATTTCAAAACATTGAATCTGTTAAGAGACCTGTTGAACATCTCCTGGGGCATGAATTCCCTAGCATTTACAAAGCACTTGTCTGCTCTGGGGTTTCGTTTGGTTTATTTAATTATGGCAAGCATGGTAGGGCTACCTGCCCAAGGGCAGGGCTGCTTTCGTGGAAGACTTCGAAATGAAACTGTCTGATATCCATGTTATATATGGGAGAAAATTACAAAAACGGTCATGCAGGCATCCCGTTCACCTAGAATCAAACCCAGATCAAACTACCAATGTTCAGCGACTTTATCGCTTGGCTGCTGGTAGGCCTGTCTCCTCTAGAAATTTACTGACCAGCACGTTCTTCTGTCTGATTGGAACTTGATCCTATCCATTATCAAGCATTACGGATTTGCTTTCAAATAAAATTTGCATTTACACATAAAGAATGAACAATAAAAAAGTTTATTCTGTTAAAAATTGAAAGGTGACTGATTTTTGGAATCACTAATTCATTTATGGTCTTCTTTACTCTTTTTCAGCAATAGGAAATGATCTCTGGACGTAATATATGAAAATACAACAAAAGCATGGAGGCCTTGGGTATTTGCTAGACTACTGTGAAAGAGTTGCCGTACTTGATTATTACTTATTATCCTTATTCATTGATTGCAAGCTTCATCGCTTTCGCCCTTCTTTTGCGACTTTATTGCCGACTAACTCTGGGTATTTGCGACTGCAAGGAAAGTATGGAAGGCAAAACTGTTGTTATAACTGGAGCATCTGCTGGTGAGTATCCCTGTTGGCTATTTTCACCTAGTGACTAAGGCTAATTATAATCTTTATAGTGATAGACTAGTTGTCTGTCTGCAAATATTCATTATAATTCTTTTAAATACTGTCTTTATAAGTTTCATTGTTCGTTGCATAATTAACGTAACATTAACATAGCATGAGAAGATCAAAAAATTGAAATTAAGTTATTATTAACTTTGTTTCGTAAAACATTTAATATGCTGAAAGTGCTTTCATAGCAAATGATGCAACCGTCGGAAATAATAGCTCTGGTATATAATCTAAAATGATTAAACATCGAATTAAAATCTGTAGTCATACATACGGGAGTTGGACAAAGAAACTGAAACACTTGCATCTGAAGATCGATACTTTATTAACGTGACGTAGACTTTGGCCTTTTGGAGGCCAGTACTGTAGCGATTGCTCTTGATAATGATTGATGCAAATCTTGTACAATCAACTGAGGTACTTAAGCCTGTTACGTTGTAAAAGAGTGATTATTTCAGATCATGACTGTGGAGGAGGAAGGCGTTTCTAAACTCTGCCCTCTAGCATATCCAGACAGGTTCAATTATGTTGAGATCAAGGAATTGTGAAAAACATGAAAGATGCTGATGCTCATTTTCATTATGTTCTTGGAATGACACTGCTAATAGTTTTGCGGTGGGAATTGGTGTAGTGTCATCCTGATACACAACACCTGCATTGGGACATAATGCTTTTGAACAACTTGGTGGATGTGGTAGTCTAGGACACGATGACAGTCCTTATCACTGTTATATGTGACTATTAAGAAAATTCACGTTCTTCCAAAATATCCATGATACTGCGGCTCAAACTATCAACATTCCGCTTCCATTTTTCACTCAGCGCTAGATCATCCAGATCATATGCCTCTAAAGGAGTTGTTCATACATGAATTGTCTCAGAAATGCCAAAGATATTGATAGTGGATTCATCTTTTAACATTACACATTGTGCATCGTGTGCTTTGTAAGTTTTTCAAAAGCAAACAATTAATTTTAAGTATGAAACTTCAATTGAACAACTAGTTTGTTTAAACAAAAAAAGAGGAAAAAAGAAACAAGAGGAGGGGGGAGGGGAGAAGAAAAGAGAGAGACGGAATTCTGTAACATTGCAATAGATACAATTATGCCTTTAAAGGCTGTGACAAGCAGATTCGTAAAAAGTGAAAAACGCAAAGAAAGAATTTAAAATCTTTAAGAACAATTTTTAACATCAATTTATTAAAAGTTTATCTCTATTAACCTTAAGGAATTGCTTTAAAACTCCGGAAGCACTATTGTCGCATATTAATAAAACTGATACTGATGCCAATGGAATCAAAACTCTTGTCATTTAGGTATGTTAAAACGATTGAGTAAAATTTTAAATGAAATACAGTTAAAATTCATTATAAAAATCTCTGGTATAAGAAATTTTTTATTTTAAAGAAGAAAAAGAAAATTTTGTTTGAAGCATTGTTAAAATACAGGGTGATTTAATGTTTATAAGGAAAGAGGAAAAGGCGGATTTCGCAACTGAATTATACGAGTCATTACTGTCTCATTTCCATTCGGATAAATTTCAAAGCTTGTTTAACTGCAGTAAATGAGTTGGTTATGTTAAATATTTTATGTTCGGTTACGTACTAAAATAATATTGGAAAAGGAGTTCCACCACCGTTCTGATTTTCCTAAGACAAATAATGTATTTTGGCTGTCCAATCTTACTAAGGACAATAAGATTTCAGAAAAACTATCTTACTGTAATTTAAAACATGCGCATAATTTTGAGCTTATCCCAAACCAGGTGTGCCAATATAGAGTGCGCCTGTTATAAACGTCTATTATGAGACACAAATTTTAAATCTACTTCAACTCTGTTGTGTAGAAAATTAATTTTATGTTGAAATTGGTCTTATATCTTGCATATACAAAGGCTGTTCGCACATTTTTTAGACGATTTTCATTGTAATTATAGAAATATTTTATGTTTTTGAATATTCTGTTTGATAACCCTTATTTTTCACTCACTATCTTTACACACCATAAAATCCAAGACCATAAAGCTTTTTTTTTTTTTTTTTTTTTTTTTTTTGTATTATTAGAAGAGGTTTTTTTATCCCATTCCTCTCGAACAGCTTTCCAAAGTCTAAGGAGGTTCGATATTTGGAACCCATTTTTACTTACTTGAACGAAGTAAAAAGGAAGTATTGTAATCGTGAAAAGTTTCAGGTAGCATATTTCAACGAAAATATCCATTTTGACCGCTATCGAATACAATTTAACGATGTTTTTGCGCGACATCTGTATGTAAGGATAGAATAAAAGACTCTTTTTCCTCCAGGAAAACTATAAAACTGCTTTCAAATGAATTCTGAAGAGAATTTTTCATGGTTTTTGTAGGTATGTATGTATCTTGCATAACTCAAAAACGAGTAGCCTCAGAATTTTGAAATTTTGTATATAAGACTGATATAACATGTAGATGTGCACGTCGTATTTTGGTAGCAATCGGCCGCACCAAACGTATATAAATATTTTTTATATATATCCACTCTGTTACCCGGCTCAGTGATCTCAGTTTCTTTACTCTTATATGTTTATAAATTGTGAATTTTTTGTTTTAAAAAATGATTGAATTATACTGTTCTTATCTTCCGGTTAAGGTTTTTATGCCTTTAGGAAATCTGCAAGCAATATTTGTAGAATTGTCAACAATTTAAAAGCTGTTTAAGTGCGGTTAAGCCTAATTTTTAAATAACATGGCGGACAGATTTGTTTATATTTGAAGCAGCAGAATAGTAGATTTGTTGCCAATCTAGAGAGACTAAGCTTCGCAACATCAAAGATAATGCCTTCATTTATTATTGCAAATTAAATCATGCTTAATCCTTTCTCGAATTTTTCGAGGAAATAATAAGTGTTTAAGATTTACTGCAAAAATTTTAATATAGATATTTATGTATCTTAGCCTTTTCGCGAAGTGAGAACTGAATTAATGGAATGAGAAATACTGAATCGTCTGTGAAAAACTGTTTCTTTTTTTGTTTTGTTTGCTTAATTTCTTTTATACATCGTTCCTGATTTATTATAGTATTTGAATAGAACATGTGGCAATGATTAGATAATTCTTCAAATGATATAAAATTTGTGCATTCTGAGTTATAATATGAACGAAATATAACGCTGTTAAGTGAACCTAGCGCCAGAGTGTCGCTATGGCAAACAAATATAGCAAATTTTAAAGAGTGCATTTATTCTATTGTGGTTTATGAGCCATCGACGAAATAGATTTAATTCAATCCAATAAGTTTAAATGAATATATTTAATATTCCGTACGAGGAAGTCATGTGGTGTACACATCAGATCTTTTACACGTCCTAAAGCGCAAAAATACATTGGTGATACATCATTAGATTTAGCAGGGATATAAGTGATATACACTTTCTGGCACTATTTTTTCCCAGAAAATTAACAGTACACTTTGGCGTGTCGCTGCTTGCTTTGTCTTGATGCAGTTCTCCTGATTTATCACGCTGTGTGTAAAGAGAAGTTATTTCATATTTGAAAATTGGGCATAAAATGTGTTTTTAATAATATGTGAAGCTGATTTTTTAACATTTTTCTCTTTATTTTTCATTTGCCATTGTATTAAAAACCAGGAGCAATCATCATAAATCCCATAGAAAAACTTTATTTAGATTCCTTGAGCCATGTTTTAAGTTTTTTCTCCATTTTGATGATAATAAATTAATAAATGGTTCTCTTTCTATCGCAGTCTTTATTACATTGAATAAACTATCAAAATGTTTTTTAAAATATTATTTAATCTTGTGGAAGCTCAAAAATGCCATTCGCCTAAGGCGGCCTGTAACTCTTAGGGCTACCTTGTCTGTAAGAATTTAGAGTATGTTCTATTTCTTTATAAAAGGTATAGGAAAGGCTACTGCATTAGATATGGCTAAACGAGGGGCGCGTGTCCTGCTGGCGTGCCGAAATTTAGATAAAGCTGGAAAAGTGGCCGAAGAAATAAGATCTCAGACGAAGTATCCTAATGTGATTGTGAAGCATTTAAACCTGTGTTCCTTCAAATCTGTCAGAAAATGTGCTGAAGATATTCTGAAGACTGAAGACAGATTAGATGTCCTTATAACAACGCAGGCATTCTAGGTAATTACAACCATTTGCATTCATAATATTTGTCACATTAGTGCTGCAAACTAAAGTAGAATAATTTGAATTCGAATTTTGACATTTAAGAAATAAGGTTTACTTCAAACCGTAAGAATTTTCTTTGAGCACTTTTTTCTTTTTCCAAAGAAGATTTTTAGTTGTAAAACTAGTCCAGTACTTTTTAATTTGAAATTTAGTTAAATGTAAAAAATAGGTTTGTTATTTAAATCATATGCTATTTTCAAATTAATGCATTAAAGCAACAAACAAAAAAAGGTTGTGTTTTGCTAAGCAAAAAGAAAGCTTTTTGTCTGATGTCAGATAACTGACTGGGTCAACTACGGCAGGTCTAAATATTGTTCTACACTGACTACCAATAAGTATTTGGACACCTGTGATAGAAAAGAAAAACTAACTTTATTCAAAATCAATAGTTGGTAGAGCCTCCACGAGAGGTAATTACAGCGTGGACCCTCCGGGGCATACTTTCCACAAGTCTTTGTATGACAGCTAGTGGTATTATCTTCCACTCGGCTTGGAGAAGACATAGAAGGTCCTTCCCCAATTTTGCACGGGTAGTGCACCCCTGAATTCGGCGATGCGACTCGTCCCAGAAGTTCTAGATAGTTTTCAGGTCTGGACTCTGGGCAGGCCAGTCCATTTGATGAACTCCATTGGCACCATACCAAGCCTTGGTTAACGTCGAAACATGACAACTGGCAATGTCGCCCATAAAAATAACAGGAGTCCAACCCGTAAAACTGCCACAACGTAGGAAACACATTGTCATCCAAAATAGTGCAGTAGGCATTGGAGTTGAGCTTACCATGAATGGGGAGCAAGGGTCCCAGCTCATACCAGGAGAAACACCCCCAGACCATAATTCCCTCCGCCAAACTTGACTGTTGGCACAATGCATTCTGGCAGGAGACGTTCTCCAGGTAGATGCCAGACCCAGACCCTGCCATCCGAACGGTAAAGGGTGAACCTTGATTCGTCGCTCCAAAGAACCCGTTTCCACTGATCTACGGTCCAATTTCGATGTGCTTTGCATCACATTAACCGAGCAGCGCGGCTGGACTTTGTGATTAAAGGCTTATGGGCAGCAGCATGACCATGAAAACCAAGCAGATGTGCTTCTTTACATATGGTATTCATTGAAACAATACTTCCGGATGCCTGTTGAAACTCCTCGCGGATGAGGGCCATCGGTTGGGTGCGGTTCTTCCGAATTTCTCTCGACAGCACTCGTTGTTCTCTATCTCCCAGTTTCGTTGGTCTGCCGACTCGGGGCACATTCCGACAATCACCGCTCACCTTCCACTTCTTAATCACGTAGGCCACTGTCGATTTTGGGTACTTCAGATCGCTAGATACGTCCCTTAAGGATCAGCCACATTTGTGATATTCGATAATTATACCTTTCTCGAAATCATAGAGCTCCGAACTGCGAGGCATCTTGCATGTGACTAAAGCCGATGCTGTTTCCTACACGATATATACCGGTGGAGTCCGTGACGTACCTTAGGACCGCAGATATCGTCATTTGCATAGGTGTCCAGATACTTATTGGTAGTCAGTGTATAAACATCGTCGATAACATCAAACTTGCAGATAAGAAAAGGTATAATTCTTATTCTCTGTACTTAAAACTGATAATCCCTGGTAAAAATTTTCGCCAGCAAACCAATTTAAAATTATCAGTTTGCCATGTAATATTGTTAAATTATAGGGAAAGTTCTGTTATTTATATTAAATACATCTAATTTTTTGTAAGATTTGTTAAAAATAATTTTAAAAATAAAAAAATAATTTGCCGTTCGTTAGTTTCTTTAAGTTTACTAAAAGAGCTTAGTAATTTCAGGGGAGGGAGTTTTATAATTTCAAATTATCGTAAAATACTTCTCGTAAATTCTAATGAAAATTTTGTATTAAACTTGAATTAGTAATCTCCAACGTTACCAGAGTATCGCTAATTTGTAAACAATGTTCTTCTTCTTCTTCTTTTTTTTTTTTTTTTTTTTTTTTTTTTAATGGAGCATGCGATTTTTTTGTAACCTTTTTTTTTTTTTTTTTTTTTTTTTTTTTTTTTTGTTTTTTTTTTTTTTTTTATTATTATTATTATTATTATTATTATTTGTGTGGGCCACAAATTATAAAATATGGTTTTAATGCCTCCACTTCAGAGTTATTGCCTCATTCATTAATAAGAATTTTTTAATAATGAACATCTTTAAAAGTTTTTTTCCCCCCCTCATGAAACAACATTGAATTAGGGCTAATTATCTATGCGTAAAGTTATTTTTTCCCCAAAAAAATTTTTTTAATGTACCGAACCTCAAAGGTTTAATGTCAGTTAATAATGGTTTCAGTTTCATAACGGTTTTGAATTTCAGATAAAAGCAGTGGGAAATGGAGTAAAAATTATGTACTTATCTCAGTTTTAAGAAGCTGAAAAGTGAGCATATCTCCTTTATTTACCCGAAACCCAAGAGGAAAATGTCCTGTAAAATTAAATAAAAAAATCACCTCTATTTTTTAAAGATATCGGTATAGATATATATATTGCACAAGAACCTGAATTGGCGCCATATTCGCTTAATGAAAATTTAAATGTAGAAACAATTTGTTACCAGTGTAGCCCTTGGGATATTCTCCTTGCGCTTGAATGCCCCGGTATGCTCCTTGAAATCTTTTAAGGGAACTATGTTTAGCATCATGTGCAAATAAGCCTGACTATTTGTACGAAATGGAAACGGCTGCTCTATATAAGAATTTCAGCCTTAAAAATACCAAAATGTGTCTGGGTGCCTAATCTGACGAGGAAACTTGCATTTCGCTTTCGCCTTCCATTGCTTCCATTCAATTCTTTCTTGATTGAACAACTAGTTTCATCCTTGCACGGGTGAGGTCTTTTGCGGCAGATGTGTTCCTTTTTAACCATACTACATAATACAATAACCTGAAATTATAAGACATGAAGTGGCATATTCTTGATACGCATTGATGAAAATGTGTCAACATTGTCCTAGTTGTACATCTGGCTTTCTTTCGCTTCTTTGGTCTTGACTTATTTCATTCTGAAGTCTGTCACATCGTCCCATGATTAAAAATCGAACCTGTTTTCATAATTTGAGACAGCGATGCTATAGAGAACGTTTCAAACTGATTTAAGAAAGGTACTAAACAGATTTCAGTTTACATTCTTCTAGGTAGTATTCAAGTCATGATGCAAAACTTGGGATTTGCATATAAGTGCAGATGCGGATTGCTTTGAAGGGTTTGGGGTACGAGATTCAAATCAGATTCAATAAATAATTGACGTTTGCTTTCGATCAACGTATCCTAGTTTTGATATTCTTAATCTTTCTCCCTTTCGTGGGCCATCATGACAATGCCTATGATCGTAAACTGGGTTTCTGCTGGAATGGTTTAATGAAGTTGTTGTTGATAAGTTTGATGGAGTAAGCAAACTGCTGATTTGACTCGGTTAAACATTTTGAGAATAACAGGAGCAAGAGACACTTTACGACTTCTATTTGGGGCATTCAATAAGAATTTCTTTTGAATAAAAAGAAAGTTTTAAATAAAGGTATGCCTTTATTATTATTGTTGTTGATGATGATGGTGATGGTGATGGTGGTGGTGGTTGTGGTTGTGATGATGATGATGATTAAGAAGAAGCAGAGCGAGAGGGTGGCGGATTTAGTCTTTATTTTGTTCTAGAAATCTGGATATTGAAATTATTGCTGAAACTTATTTTGATTCTGCAGAGTGAAAACTTCTCATTTTCTCTCTTGAAATACATTAAGCATTTTAAGCTGAACTCAGTTCCAAATAAAAGTTAAATCTGACAATATTACTTTTAAAATGATTGGATATCTTGACTAAAAAAAAATGGCAAAATATCCCAAAAAGCAAGGAAACCTGTTCCCGTCACAATATACAGACAATTAGTGGAGAACCGAGTCTGTGTGGTAGAAAATATAACTGTAAAGAGGGAAATCTAACTTTATGTGAATTTTATTTATACATTTGTTTATTTAGAGGAAATAGGTATTTATAAGTGAGTACTTTTAGTTAGTTTTATAGGTGAGCAATGTTAATGATAATGTCCTGGTATATTTCATTAAGTAGTACACTGACTACCAATAAGTATTTGGACACCTGTGATAGAAAAGAAAAACTAACTTTATTCAAAATCAATAGTTGGTAGAGCCTCCACGAGAGGTAATTACAGCGTGGACCCTCCGGGGCATACTTTCCACAAGTCTTTGTATGACAGCTAGTAGTATTATCTTCCACTCAGCTTGGAGAAGACATAGAAGGTCCTTCCCCAATTTTGCACGGGTAGTGCACCCCTGAATTCGGCGATGCGACTCGTCCCACAAGTTCTAGATAGTTTTCAGGTCTGGACTCTGGGCAGGCCAGTCCATTCGATGAACTCCATTGGCACCATACCAAGCCTTGGTTAACGTCGAAACATGACAACTGGCAATGTCGCCCATAAAGTAACAGGGGTCCAACCCGTAAAACTGCCACAACGTAGGAAGCACATTGTCATCCAAAATAGTGCAGTAGGCATTGGAGTTGAGCTTACCATGAATGGGGAGCAAGGGCCCAGCTCATACCAGGAGAAACACCCCTAGACCATAATTCCACCTCCGCCAAACTTGACTGTTGGCACAATGCATTCTGGCAGGAGACGTTCTCCAGGTAGACGCCAGACCCAGACCCTGCCATCCGAACGGTAAAGGGTGAACCTTGATTCGTTGCTCCAAAGAACCCTTTCCCACTGATCTGCGGTCCAATTTCGATGTGCTTTGCACCACATTAACCGAGCAGCGCGGTTGGACTTTGTGATCAAAGGCTTATGGGCAGCAGCATGACCATGAAAACCAAGCAGATGTGCTTCCTTACGGATGGTATTCATTGCAACAATACTCCCAGATGCCTGTTGAAGCTCCTCGCAGATGAGGGCCATCGGTTGGGGGAGGTTCTTCCGAATTTCTCTGGACAGCACTCGTCGGTCTCTATCTCCCAGTTTCGTTGGTCTGTCTGTGCCGACTCGGGGCACATTCCGTCCGACATCACCTCACCGCTCACCTTCCACTTCTTAATCACATAGGCCACTGTCGATTTTGGGTACTTCAGATCGCTAGATATGTCCCTTAAGGATCGGCCACATTTGTGATACCCGATAATTATACCTTTCTCGAAATCATAGAGCTCCGAACTGCGAGGCATCTTGCATGCGACTAAAGCTGCGCTGCTGTTTCCTACATGATATATACCAGTGAAGTCCGTGAGATACCTTAGGACTGCAGATATCGTCATTTGCATAGGTGTCCAAATACTTATTGGTAGTCAGTGTATATTGCGTGAATGACCAAACTTCAAACAGTAAGAGCCGCATGTTGGAATTCAGGGAAGTTTGAAAGCCACAACTAGATTTCCCACAAGCTACAAGTCCATATTTACATAATTTTAAAAATCCCGAAACTGGTTTCAAATAGAATAATTCGGATTCCAAATAATCATTCAATTTCAGTTTGCCTTCAGCATGTGATGATGCTTCGAAGACGACGCGAAATTTTGTGGTGTCTTTGCTTCCTTTGATTTCAGCTTGATGCTGTAAAAAGTACTGTTTCTCAGTTTTTAAATACTCCAATTCTTCCACAATAATTTTTTACAAATGGTGACAATGGAATCGTCTTAAATCCATGCTACAGAAACTCAAATCGTTTTTCTGCTAACTCAAATCTATCCCATAATTTTCCTGCGTACTTGTTCCACGGTAAGCAAACCGTACATCTGTTGTCCTGGAATTCTGGAAATTTAATACAGGTAGCATCGTCTTCGAGTCTGTGACTCTTATCAGATTTATTGGAAATTACTGAAATTTCCAATTCTACATATTTTTCATCAATTCGTACGTCGAACCAACTCTTGTTTAGTTATTTTATTTTATGAAATTCTGTATGATATTAAATACTTCTGAGAGTGTTTTCCTTTCTGCTCACAGACCACCTCAGTTCAGTGCCAACCGCTGCTAATGATTTAGAAATTTGGCAGCCTCTTCCTGTAAAGCATCAAGAAGCATCCAACCATCTATTCATAAAGCATTAACAAGCAAATCTAACTTTTAAAGATTTTCTTCACAAAATTGTTTGATCGAATTAGTACAATATTTTTATTTTTTAATATTCTTGGGTAACATTATAAAGTTTCTTATCTAATAAGAAATTAATAAAATAATCGTTTTGATATTGGAGAGTTTAAGTTTACTGAAAACTTTTAAAAGAAATGAAATAAATTAATTGCTTTCTTTTGGACATTGACTATTTTTAGTTTATCATATTTCAAGCATATATTTTATTTGCATGAGAGCCGCGACACTTCGCCCGCGACAACCGTGCTATGGCCACCTCTCGGTGTATGGTTACAGCTAAATTAAGAGTTTCAATGTTTCTTTACGTAAAGGTGTAGAGACATTAGGTATATTTTGGAAGCAGACAAGATGAAAAAGGAGCAATCGCCTTCCCCGGGAATCGAACCACGGACCTCTGGATACTGGCCCAGTGTGCAGAATCACTACACCACGATGGCACATTAAGAAGGCGGAAGAAATACCTTATATACTCCCCCTTTTAAAGGACGACTGTTTTTTTTTTAGAGGACCCAATTGCCAAATCCTGGGTGGGTAAAATCATCATCCAACACCCTTTTAGTTCGGGCGCCACTGTAAAGACATTAGGTATTTTTTAAAGGAGTGATGAAAAATTAGCAACGCCTTCGCCGGGAATCGAACCACGGATCTCTGGAATACTGGCCTAGCGTGCAGAACCACTACACCACAAAGGCACGCCAAGAACGCGGGAGAAATACTTTATATACTCCTCCTTTTAAAGGGCTACTGGGGTTTTTAGGGGACCCAATCGCCAAATCCTGGGTGCGGAGAATCATCATCCAACACCCTTTTAGTTCGGGTGCCACTATAGAGATATTATGTATTTTTTGGAAGCAGACAAGATGAAAAATGAGCAATCGCCTTCCCCGGGAATCGAGCCACAGACCTCTGGAAGGCGGGAGAAATACCTTATAAAGGAAAAGAAGCTTGAAATTTTCTTATCTTAGTGCTGATAAATTGCAAGTATCTTCCAAATATGTTTCAGGTAGTGGTCTTCAAAATTTAAATTCAAAATTATGTACAAAGTCTGCAGTATGGTAAAAAGGCTTTGGCTATTTACAAAATTGTATTTGAACATAAATTAGAATTACGAAAAAAATTCTTATTTTGTGCAGCATCTGCAGTATAAATAAATTCTGATAAAAACATGCTTGCTTAACTGAAGTAATAAAGAGCAGATATGTGCTAATTTGTAATAACTTTTCTGTTTTTAAGAAATTTTATTGAATTAAAATGGGAACTGTAAAAGATTAATTTTTAATAATTATTTTATTTATTTATTTATTAAAGGAGAAGGAAAAGAATTAACTGAAGATGGTTACGACAAAATCATGCAAGCCAATTACTTAGGCCACTTTCTCTTCACTTTGCTTTTAATAGGTAAACATGATACCCTTGAAAATTCAAGGGAATTTTTTTTTATCTTTTTATATGTATTATCTTTTTATGACAAAAATAATTTTTCAAAGAGTAATTATTATCTAAAATGCCGAAATTAAGAATTAACATAAAATGTGAATTTTACTGTTATAGTTAGCGAGCTATGTAACACAACTTGGTTAATGATTATTACTTTTTATATTAAAATGTTTAAATGCCTATGACCGATATCAAAAGCAGTGTAAGAAAGTTCCTAAACTAGTTTGTATATTTGTATTATATGTTAATGATAGATGAGAATGCTAAATTACTGGTCTTATAGCCAATAGTCCACATGTGGGATATTTCCATTAATGGGGATTTTAAGAATGTGAGTTGTTTTCTGAACAGTAGGCAAGACCTGAAAGTTAATCATAATATTGTTGCGTTTATGGATTCGTGGATTTGGTGTAACTGATGATCACACTTGGTAAAGAATCTAAACACAATTTTTTCGCCGGTAAACACTGTTAACACAAGACAGTTCGAAAGACCCGTTTACAGTCGTCGAAAAACTACGATAAATACACTATGAAACGATCAGTAACACAATTTTCAAACTATAACTGTGAAGACAGTTTCATGGCAAAGCACTAAAATACAGTTCCCGACTCGGTCTATAGCTCTCAAGCTAATCTTTGAACTCAAGGCACTAACTACTCCGCGTACAAGCTGGGTATATATAGCTTTAATCTACCTTCAAGAATATTCTTGAGAAAACTGCTAAGAATATGTTCTCGCTTTGTCTATGGCAACGATTCTCAGCCGGTGGTACATAAAGAAACAGATTTTTTTAACTATTAAATTCAAAAATCTCGTGAAGGAAAAGAACAATTGATAGAAATTTCTTGTGATCAAACTCTTAGCTGAAAATTTCAAAAATAATCACTTGTTAACTTTCGGCTGAACCGAGAAAAATAATTTAAAGGCATTTCTAATAAAGGTATTAAATTTTTATTGCCTTTTTGCATAACCTATTCATGCGAACAAGGATTTTCTTCCATGTTATATTTGAAAAGTAAATACAGAACAAAACTAACAGTGGATCCTAATTTGCGGCTAAAACTAAGTGAAGTAAGACCAGACATAAAGACATTGGTCTCTTTTAAACAGAGCCAAATTTCACACTAGATTTTAGAATTAATGTATTATGACTTATATTTTGCTAATTAAAATGGTAACCAATTTTTAATCTAATATTTTTTATGTGTGCATATTTAATACAAATATTCAATAGGTTGTGCAAATAGCGAAATATATATATATTTAATATTTCGATTGAGAAATAGAAAAATAATTATTGTAAAATGTAGTGGTGGTACTAAGGTTTTTCAGTTTGTGTTTAGATGGTACGCGCTAGTCAAAAGGTTGAGAACCGCTGGTCTATGGCATATTGCCGATTTTGGCACCAAATATCGACAAGTGGGTGATTTCGCGCCAAATGTGGCAACCCTGCCTTTTAATGCTACTTTATGGCAACCCTAACACCTAAAGCTATCTCACCGCCGCTGGGTATTTCGCAGAAATATTTATAACCTATGGAGTTACCGTAATTTCCGGAAGAAATGCCGCGCCGTTTACGTGTTTAAAACTTAAATTTTCAGCGGGTGAGGCATTTCTACCCATGCGGCGTTTAGGTGCACTAAAAATAAAATATTTCCTATGATGGTCATTGTACATAGTTTGGATGGCCTTGTCATTTTGGATGGCCTTGTCATTGTGCATAGACTGGTGCTGTTCCCACACAAAAGACCACTCAGTTGTTTTTTTGCGAACGTTATTTTTGTTTACATTCTTTCCCTTGAACGGACCTACATGCCTTATTCACCCTAAACGAGATCTCAGAACAATAACATTCTTCCCCTTTTCAAATCAACATTCTCATCAGTTTGAATAGTCTCTCTCCTCTGCCATTTCGATGAATCTTCCAGGACCCATCCTCTCTCCCCACCCCTGCCTTTTCTGCAATTTTTTTCAAAGGTGGACACAACTCCACCTGCCTCGAAATAACGAAATCTGACCTATTTCACCTTCAGCATGAATGGATTTTTCTTGGCATTCTGCCAAATACAAATCCATCAGTTTGGGTACAAGTACTTGTTGGATAGTTTTTAATTAGGGAGCGGAAAATTTTTGAAAATGTCTTTAAACGGCACAGAAGCTATACATTTCTTACCTTTAATTTATTTTTGAGTTATGGTTTCATTTCATGCATTTTTTTTAACTGGTATGTCATATATCAGGACTTAGGTTGAGTTTTTGCATCTATACGGCCCACGACGATGTCACGCGCAATTTAATCTATTGCGGCGTTTCTGTGTAATTTTAATTTTTTTTCCCGCCATTTTTCTCGAGTGCGGCGTTTACGCTGATGCGGCCTTTCTTCCGGAAATTACGGTATTAAAAATAAGTTTATGTCTAAATATATTTTTTTAAAATTTAATTAAAGGTTGCTTCTGATTGCTGTATTTGAAGTAAAATAAATCTTATGACTTTCTGGGGATTTATTAATTTCTCCTATTATTTGGAGATATTTTAAATTATGCCGCTGCGTCTACGACTTATAGTAGAATTACGGAAACTTTTCGTAAACTAAGATAATTAAATAAATCCCATTGAAATGATATCTTGAAAGATTTTTTTTTATTTATTAGTAATTTTACAAATGTTTCTTCACCTCTGTCAAGAGTTTTCTTTATACAGTGGTACCTCGATATACGAGTCCCCTAATATACAAGTGTTTTGAGATACAAGCCGCTGAGTGAGCGATATTTTGCTTTGAGATGAGAGTAAGATTTGAGATACGAGGAATCGCACACTACACCGCTGCACACAACCGCAACATGCACGCGCATGTTGGTGTCGTGTGCAGCGGCTAACAGTTTCTCTCACCTCAGACTAGACTTGTTTCTCTGGGAAAATCCATGGGTCTGGAGGTGGATGAGAGAGATGTGAACGAACCCGTTGAGGAACAGTCTCAGGAGCTGACAACTGAGGAGTTACACGATCTACATCCGCAGCAGCATACTGTGGTTCAACGAAAAATTAGTTCTGAAGAGGAGCCAGAGATGGAGGAGGTTATCCCTACAAGAGATATAAAGGAGATCTTGAGAATGTGGGAGAAAGTTGTAGGGTTCGGGGATAAAAATCACCCCGAAAAAGTTTTAACTGGTCTTGCATCGGAGTTGTTCAACGAAACTTGCCTAACTCATTTCCGCAATATCCTGAAAGGGAGGAAGAAACAAACCTCCTTGGAGAGTTTTTTTAAACAATCTGCAGGTGAAAATGAGCACAGCGTGACGAAAGAAGCGAAGACCAGTGACGAAAATTAAACGCTTCCGTAGGCACTTTCACTTTTCTTTTAATTCTTGTTTTTATAGAATATGTATTTGTTATTTATAAATAAATGTTTCTTCTTGTAAATACATTTTTCTTATTCAAAAACACTTAACAAAAACAACTGAGGTGGTGTTTTGGGAGCTGGAACGGATTAATGGCATTTCAATAAATTTCAATGGGGAAAATTGCTTTGATACGAGCAATTTGACATACGAGCAAGGTTACAGAATGAATTAAACTCGTATGTCGAGGTACCACTTTATAAAGTATTGGAATAATGTGGCTCTTTATGAAATGAACTTAGAATGCCAAACATGTAGATGAATAGGCATCAGGATTTAAACTATCTGATGTGGACACCACATGACTTTCTTGTACGACGTTCTAAATTATGCACTTTTCTTTTAAACTTATTTCGTCGAATTTCATTAGGGATATAGTTCCCATTCAATCAATTCAATTCTGACTTCGCAACAAGGCAAAAATACATAAAAACTCAATATATTTTCATTAAAATTTGTAAAATACAGAAACACTTAAAACACCAAATACAGTTAAAAAAAGTACAATTAATATTAAAGTTTCTAGGCTAAACAAGCAATTCGGTCAACGGGACGGACGACAAAGTTTTTGGTGCACAAAATTAAAAGTAAACTTTTGACTTCATTGAGCAGAATGACACTGAATTTGGTGTACCAACTTAGTTCTCTACTATACTAAGAATTTCAAATGTAAAGAAATGACGGCTTCGTTAGGCTTAGTACCACTTTAGCAACTTTTAAATTGTTGATGATCTTTGCATGTAGAATAATTAAAGCTATAAAAACCTCAACCGAAAATTCAGAAATTTATGTGGAAATACAAGCATTCTTCCTGCAGAATTTATTGAATTTTGAGTACAGTGGAATTGCAAGGAAAAAAAAAAGCAAAAATTGTTCTCGAATGTCAAGAAAAAAAAAACTTTTTTTTTCAGAAAGGGCAAAAATAATGGTCGTTCTATTGAACTTCATTTTTATTCTTCTTTCTTCATTTTTGCCTTCATTTTTGGCTGATAATATATCTTCTGTTATCCTGTAGTACTGAATAAAACTCAGAATGTTCCTTTAAATAATGCACTATTCAGAGATGTAGAAGATGAAATTACCTTTTAAAGTACTGTATGATTACCACAGCATATGAAACATAATGAATGTTAAGTAAACATATTCGGAGTTTGAATGTGTTTACTTATTTCATAAACTTTGTTTAAAAATTCCATTTTAATATGCTTTGTACAATAACAGTAAATTCCAAATCATAAATTAGTTAATAATGCTAAGTTATATACTTAATTTATCTTTTTCTATTTTTCAATCATGACACGTATTTGTAGGATTTTAAGTCCCCTGAAATTTGTTTAAAATGCTCCATTTTTGCTTTCTTGTGCGGCGCAAAGCAAGTATTGTAAGCACGAAAAATTTCAGGTATCATTATTAAATAAAAATACCCATTTTGATTGCTCTCGAATTCATTTGAAGGATGTTTTTGCGTGACATCTGTACGTACGGAAAGAATAAAGGACTGTCTTTGCCGAAAAGAATTCTAAAATGGAATTAAAAGGATTAAGAAGAGATTTTTTTCGTGACATTGATATATTTTATGCAAATGTAGTTCTTTTTTCAATTATTACTTTTATTTGCTTGTTATTTTTTATTTCCTTTAAGTGGTGTTTTACCCTCTTAAAAGTTAATTTCTTTTTTATTTGAAGGTCTGTTAAAGAAAAGTGCCTTAAGTCGTATTATAAATGTATCATCTGATTCATATTCATATGCCAAGCTTGATCCAGATGACTTAAAGAACAGTAAGAAGCATTCAGATTTCACCGTCTATGCAAACTCTAAACTGGCCAATATTCTTTTCACTCAAGGACTTGCAATCAGGTTATCTGGAAAAGGTAATGCATCTTCCTTAGCTAAATCTATCAATAACATTAATATTTCTTTTTACAGTTAAAAGTCTTTAATATGGACGTCCATAATCCGGACCTCAAAGCTACAAATTTTCTGCGCATGTGTAAATGCATAATACGTTTATGCATGCGCATAATATGTTTACACATGCGCGTTTAATGTATAACAGTATAAGCTAAGTTAAAATTATCTAATTATTTATTTCAGTTAATGTTGCAGATTGCGTTGTTCCTTAATCTTCTAATTGGATCCGACTTATTATTTTTTGCAGACTGTTAGAGCAATTTTATAAAAGTAAGCTTGAACTTTCGATTATGTCAAAAAGAATTTCCGATTCTGGAGCTGCCAAAGGATCTACAAAGTGAAAGCATGTTTCGATGTCCATCAAACAAAAAGTGGAATTGCTGCAAAAAATGGATAAATGCATATCCTTTGTTTCTCTAACCATTCCAAAATCTGTTTTATCAATTTCACGCTGCTCTGCGGGGGAGGGGAAACGTCGCGGTGCGCAATGAACTGGAAGTTGATCTGTCAGCACTATCCTTATCTTCAGGGCAGATGTTTTTATTTTATTCGGCTTATAATTCCTTACTAAATGTAGTATTTCATCTCGATGTACTCCGTCTTTGATATGATTTAAATCAAATTCCTCGTCATTATAAATATCACGAATACACATCAAATAGTTTTTTCTGGTTGCAATTTTCTAATTTCGACTATGCGTAATGTATGCTTTACGCATGCGCGCATTGAAGAAATGTTTAATAAAGTAAACAAATAAATATTAAATTTTTTTTTGTAAATTTTGATACCCTTTAGATCATAATTGCTCTTTATTTCATAAATTACGGTTTCATATTTTTAATTTTATAATTTCTGCATGCCATCTTACCAGATTTAAACTGATGATCTATAATCCGGAAAAATCGATAATCCGGAATCGCCGAAGTCCTGACCAGTCCAGATTAAAGACTTTTGACTGTATCATGTTTGGCAATCACTGAGAAATTAAAATAAAGAAGCATCGTGAAATTATATTTTTTTTTAACAAATTAAAAATGGGCATTTGAATTTGCTACTAGAAACTATACAAACTCATTACATCAATTTTTAGCAAATAATGTACACTGCGCAAAAAAAGGGGGTGGCACAGTTCTATATCTCTCGTTCTATTGGGCCGATTGACGAAATTCAAGATTTATATATAGCATTAATCTAATATAGGTGTGGGTGTGTGATTATGACAAAGCCTCGAGGGCTATCTGCCTAAGGGGAGGGATGCCTTCGTGGAGACTTTCTAAGGAAACTGGCTCGTATACCGTTACACATGGGGAAAAACACGAAAACTCTCATGCAGACAGCCCGTTCGCGGGATTTCGAACTCGGACCGAACTACCAGTGTTCAGTGATTTAACGCTCGGCCACTGTGGGGCCATCTACATAGGTATTCTGACACAAAATTGAAATTTTCTGAAATGACATACCATTTTGTTTTCATATTTCGGTTCTACGACTCGAATTATGTCTAAATATTAAATTTTGGGAAATTTTACGGGAATTTACGGAGAAATTGCTGTGCTTTTTTCAGTTTGCGCCACGAATAATTCACTTGCCGAACTTCTTAATTTATAGCAACCACTTTTCTTTTCCCTTTCTACATTGTGCATGAAGGGAAAAAGACACATCGTTCCTACTTTCAAATAATTTTACAAAGTGCCTAAACCACATTTGATGTTTTATAGTTTTCAACAAATATGCCAAATTTCAAAATGTGCCAGCATATAAATTCATGTATGTCTTCGAAAATTTTGAATAAAAAACTCTATTTTTTTTTTCAGGTAGGCTTAGTAGAAATACATCTATTTTAAAATGATGGTAAACATTTTATCGGTTATAATTCAAAATTGTTTTCGAAAAATTCACAAAAATTATTTTTAAATACAAATTTTAGAAATAAAGCTTAAAAAATGGCCGAAGTTTATTTGGAATGAACCTTAATTTCAAAATGTGGAGAAAGAATCAAATAAGTTTAATACAAAAAGAGAGATTAATAAATATATACCAAATTCAATTAGCATTGAGGAGCTAAACTTTTGAGAGCTAATTTTTTAAAAATTACTCGTGCGATTCTTACAAAACCTTTTGGCAGAATTTGAGTCGTAGAATCGAAATATGGAAAAATAGTGGCATGTCTTTTCAGAATAAGTCTGAATTTTTGTAAAAATACCTATAGTAGAACAATGCTAGACATAAGTCTAATATATGTCGTAAGTCGCGCTTTCGAGACATGAAAACACAATTTAAATTTTGTCAATCGGCCCAGTAGAACGGGAGATATAGAACTGCCCCCCCCCAGTGTGCAAAATTCATAACAATATGCAACTTTCATAGCTGAAACATAAGGATTTCGAATTAAAAAAACTCCGATGGTTTATTAATACTTTTATCTTAGATTGTTTCTTTTTGTGAATTTGTGCAATAAAAAGTATTTCTGCAATATTAATATATCATTGTGTTTAGGTGTTACAGCAAACAGTGCACATCCAGGTGCCGTGAAGACAAGTATTTTTGATGCTGCCAGTGGCTATTTAAGTATCTTGCCCAGGATATTATTTATCGTGGTTGGAAAGGTATATTTATCTTCATTTTATTTCTTAAAATGCAATGCACTTTCCAAACTTTAAAACTGGAAGCATAATAAATCGGAATTTGAAGGAACTGCTTTAGCTCTCTTCTCTCTTTTGTATACCTGTATTTCGTCTTATTGGTAAATTCATAGAGCTTCTAAAATTCATTGTTAAAGTGATCATTACTCTTATTATGTTTTTCTGAACTGCTGCAAAAGTGGATGTCATTTAACGTTTTAAAACAGTGATGACCAATATAATGAGTATGATTTTTATAGTTTGAAAGAGAGCTATGGTCAGTTTACTGATCATGTGTGCCCCTCCGCACTTTTTATAACCGAGACTGTTTATGGACCTTTAATTTTTTGTTTCTTTCAAACAGTCATTAGCTAGTATAGTGGTCAAGCATAGATGTTTGTAAGTGTATAGTATCTCTGCAGCAGGGGGCACTCAGAATACAGTAGAACTCCAATTATCTGAATCAACTGGGACCTGACCCCCATTCGGACAGTTGGACTTTCCCGAAGAAAGGTTCTACGTACACTTTAATTAATTACTGTCTGTACTGTATGTTGAAAATGGGAGAAAAAACTATTTTTAAAGAAAAAGAGATTTTAATTAAAATGAAAAGGCAAAACTTTTACGTACATGTTATATAGAGTATTGTACAGTTCTTAAAAGTCATTGCTTGCTGAACATCTCGGTCAGAGTAAGCTGTTTGATTGTCTTCATCCGTTTTCTGGCAGCCAAGTCACGCATCCGATTAACAACGAGAAATTGCATGTGGTCACACTCGGGTTGACGCTCCATCCACTTCAGTGCAGTTTCAAGGCTGGCAAACGCTTCACTAGCTCATGGTCGTACATGTGAGCATTCTGTACCGCGCCACGCGCACAGAGAAACCTCTGTACTTGTGATTGGACATACTTTCAGATGACATCATTTTCTCTTTGTGTAATGATATTTAGGTGGGCTTCTTACGGTTTTGTTTTTGTTAAATAACGCCATGAGTGACAACGAAGTGTGAAAATTAGCGTTTATTTTCTTTGAAACGAAAAAATTTATCTGCAGCTTTCTGCTGATTGCTTCCTGTTTCATGGAATAGTAAAATTATAAAATCTCTCAAAGATGCTGTTAATATCAGAAGTGCTTAGATTAGCTATTAATATCTGAAGTGCTTAGATTTTATAAATAGCTGAATGAATTCAGTGCAAAAACCGAGGTACGGTGATCTTGATCCAACTGTAAAGGCATTGTGTGCTAGTAAGTGTATTATTATTATTACAATTTTGTTCTATTCCGTTTTTTTCACATTGCAGAAAATATTTCCTTTGTAAATATTACGTTATTTCCATATTAATGTCCATGTCATTCTAATATATCTGTGGCCTCAAATGAAAGAAAAAAGTGCATTCAGTACTTTAGTGGAATTTAATACACGTGTATAAGAAAAGAAAACTTCCTTCTCTGACAAATACTATTTTTATGCAAAGGTACAAAAGATATTACACATTAAAAATGGGCAATAATTATAAAGTAATATTACTCAATTTAAAATGCGTATCTCTATTTCCAAGTTCCAAATCTATATTAGTCTAACTTCAAAAATAAATTTTACTTTTTCAGATTGATTATAAATATTGTGTACTTGTGTAATGTTAGCTCCCAACGTCATTTTTGCTATTTCCGAAAACTGACTTGTCTCATGTTTTCCTAGATTGCATCAGCAGAGAATGGATATATAATGAACATGAAATAATTAATTAATAATCACAACACCTTTAATATGAAAGGTTTTAAATTAAGAATACATTTGTTAAAAACAGCATATCTGCACTTAATACACATTTACAAAGTTAGCAGAAGAAGAAATAGTACTTTTTCTCTCTAGGGGGAGAAAAATACCACTTTTTTAAAATTAAATTCACCACACTACAGTGTTATAAAAAATGTAATCTCTTGGGGGGGGGAAGTACGTAATAATCTTTTCGGTACTGCTAATAAAATGTAAACAAATGGTATGTAGATGTACCCTCGAGCCCAAGCAAAGTTAAGGCGTTCCTAAGCGTAGAAGAAATGAAGTCATCGGAAGCCATATAGAATCACGAGGAGGGATTTTTCCCTTTGTGTGTGGCGCGGTATAGAATGCTTATATGCGTCCCGTGTCTGCTTCAACTTCGACATTAAGGTCATCTCCTTCCTTGATATTTCCCTGTCTCACACTTTCAGTAAGTTCATCATCATTTAGAATTTGAAGCCAAGGTCTGACAAATCACACACCATTCATTCTGCTGTGTCCTCAGCACTAACTTTGGAACATCCAGGAATTTTCAAAAGAACGCTTTAAAATTCATCAATTGACACGTCATCCTCATCTTCTCTTATCTCTTCCCTTCCTTTTCTTCAGCTTCTTTTTTCTTTTTCTCCTTTTTTTTTCTCTCTCTCTTATTCAGTTGATTCTGAAAAATTCTGAAAGCGATTCAGATAATCAGCGATTCGGATAGTCGGAACTCAGATAATTGGAGTTGTGCTGTACATGGTGAGCCGAATTTCTCCTCCAGAGATTAATGTTAGCAGAAGGGGTGACCCTCGCACCGCCTCCCAAATGTTTTTCAAAATTGGGTGGAACTGATTCCTGAATTTCCCATCTCTTTGTCAAGTAAATACACCCTTTTGGAGAAGATTCCAGTTGTAAATAAGCGTCATTATTGTAAACAGAAAGTGATTTTTCAAAAGGAGGGAGGTACTATTAGATTACAAGAACTGAATTGTTTTAAGGCCGAAAGGCACGTTAGTCTCAAATGGGATATTAGTCTCGAAATGGCATTTTGCATCAAAACACTTAAATGCGTTGTATCACTTTTCAAATCGTTGCCTCTAAATATTATCGCCCTATATTATGTTTAAAGCAATTAAATAATGAAGAATCTGCATGAATATATGTTTGTTTTTCACACTGTGAAAAATAACAGTATTTAGAACCATCAAAATTTGAATTTTGAATTTTGAAATTTTGAATAACATAGTCCTTCACCCGAATATTGGTACCCTGAATTTTAAGATTCGAATTTGTTTTATTAGCTGTTTTGTATTTTGTAAAACTTTAATGAATTTTTGATTTAAAAAACCCAACGATTTCAAAGCGAGCAGTGGCAACACTGTACAGAATAAAAAAATTTTATCTGCAGTAGGCGAGGCTGTCTGTTGGAAATTCCAAAGATATGCTGTTTTTAAATATTTTGTTATTATGCTGTTAAATCGGATTTTATGTAGTGTAAGCACCAAGAATGTGATATTTAATAAGTAAACACACAAACCATTAATAATAAAAAGACAATAAAATGAAAGTTTTGTAAAGCCATCTTAGTAAGAAAACTGAACATTGGTAAGATAAACTGGGGGGGGGGGGGGAAACAGAAAAATATATGCCAACATAATGTTGCATCGGGAATTCTATATGTATGCTGCTATGCTGCTTTTGAAATTTTTGCAAGTTTGCTGTTGAACTGTATATGCCGTACGTGCGAAGAAAAGTATGCTTAATAGTAAAGCAAAAAATATTTTACAAAAAAATTGGCTGGTTGGAATGAGTGTAACAGCAGAATTATAGACTATGAGCTCAGCAAGAGCGTAAAATACATTAACAAACTCTTTTGGTCGACCGTTAAAATCGGAAAGCTTTTAGATTTTTTTAAATTATTATTTTTTATTTCTTTTTATTTATTTATTTTTTATTTATCTTAAAGATATCCTGGCACCAGTTAGAAAAGCTTAAGGTAAAACTTAATATGACATAGTCCACATTAGATAACAGATTTGGCAACTAAAAAATATGATTTGGAAATGTTATACATCTTTTTTAAAAATAAAATAGTGGATAATAGCTGTATTTTGAGAAGAGGTTGGTATTGTGTTTCACTCTTCAGTCTGTGAATCTATAACAACAAATATAAATTGCCTTAAATCAACAAAAATTTCACTTATGCTTTTTTGCGCAAAGCAGATAGTATCTTCAAAAAAGACGATGTTGCTAGTAGCTGTTGTTTGGCAGATTCACTGGGATTTTTTGCCTTTGTTCGGTTTTGAAATTTACTTAGACGCATTGTGTTTCTCATTTAATTGAAATATGTTGAATTAAATTATAAATTCCTTTCAGTCACGCGAGGAAGGAGCCCAGACTTCTATCCATTTGGCTGTAGATCCTTGTTTGGAGAAAGTTTCTGGAAAGTACTTTAGGGACTGTAAAGATGTTAAACCTGATGCGAAAGCCATGAACAAAGAACTAGCAGTGCATCTTTTTGAAGTTACAGAAAAGATTGTTGGAACTTCGTTTCCTGAAACATGATTTTAAAATGCTATTGTATTTTTTGATAAAACATTGTTTTGTTTTTGTAATATTTGAGTTTAAACTTAATTAAATTTTTAAGGCAATATTGTAATTAATAATTATAAGTTTGAAGTTTCCTAACATAATGTGAAAGAGAAAGCTTAAACTAAAGCTTCTGTTCTTAACATGACTTTTTATAAAAGTAATGAGTTAAAAAAAAAAAGCAATAATTAAAACAGCCAAAGCTACGTTAACAAGATTTGACAAATATTTCATATTTTAAAGTTATATAAGTTAATGCAAATAAAATGAAGTAATGGAACTAAACTCTTTGGTGAAACTTTTAATCTTTTGACATATTGTTTAAGTTTTACTAACAGTTAGCTCGTCATGTACTCACTCAGTCTAGAGATTTATGCAGTTCTTAAGGGAAGCAGACTGGGTTAAAATAAGAAGTAACCTTAACTGTGATATGATTCATGGTAACAGCCGCTACTACTTGCCTAGTGAAAGGAGAGAGTCGTTGATCACGTAAGATGTAAATAGTACTTGACATCGGCACGCTTTGTAGAGGTGGTTATTTCTTCACCAAAGTGACGAACTCATATTACTCTTATATTGCCAAATTGTCAAAGAATTGAAATTAATAAATATTGGCAACCCACCATTGAGCAGCCATTCAAGAGATCTCGTACGATTTTTCATAATCCATTTTGCTAGTCTATTCAATGAATCCATTACTCCTAGTTTTTCAGTGCTGAAGTTAAAGAAATCCTAGCAAAGCATGAAAAGGACTTTGCATATACTACCACTTCGTACATATTCAGTAAATATGTTAATTTTTATTACTTTTGTATTGTTTTTATCTTTCATCTGTAAATTTATCATTCGGTTTGGTTGCAACACATATCCTCAACCGCCCCTACACTGTAACTTCCACATCAATAGTTCATCTTCTCTGAAATGCTTCAGTTGGCTCCACATAAAGTTGACTTCTTCCATTTTCTTCTAGCACCTTCTATGTTACTCACCAGCTCAAACCAGTCCCATTCCATCTCCGATTAACGGCAGCGTATCTTATTGCTTATTCTCCATACGCCGCCACTTGCCTAGGAGGAAATCCAAAGACAGACAAGTCCACAGTAGCTAACTGACTCCACCACGATTCACAGTGGTAAAGGTGGAAAGATAATTGTGCTTTGTCTGCCCAATCTAGTCAGTGTTACAACTTTGCGTAGCGTTGCTGAAGTTGTAACCCCCAGCTAAAATACATATACTGTAAAGTTCCAGAAAGCAGCTGAATCACTACATGTTATCAATTTGTGTTGCATTATTTTAAGTCTAGTTTTCACTAGCTGTGAGTAACAGAGTTTTACGTTAACTTTTATTTTTCTTGTTGGGGTAGCTTGTGTCCCTGTAAGAATTAAGAAAAGTCAATAACTCATCATACTTATAAGAGTGTATTCTAAGAGTGACAGTTAGTTACAAGTACTTAATTAAGCAGTAGACATAATTATTATAATCCTAAGTATAAAATATAATAATTTAGACTTCTTAAATATTTTCTAGTGTTGTTTAGAATACATGCATTCAAAGGCAATTCTTTATGGTCCTCTCTTTTTTTAATATCCATGTGTAGAATGTTTCATAAAAGTTGCAACAATTATTCAAAAATTGCTAAGACATACACCGAGACAAAAAACATTACTTGATGAAAAGCATCCATCACATAATCTCCCGATAGAAAAGTAATAATCCGGATCTGTGTCTTATTAAGCATTTTGAGACTCAGTGTGCAGATATATAATCCGTTTCTTTATACATTAATTTAATAGATTGATTAATATTAGAATAATAATGACATTAATAAAATGGAAAAAAATAAATTATTATATTAATGGTTGGCCCCTATTTTCTAGTAAAAAGATCCGTTTGTACTCTAAAATCTTGTCCATCTAGGAAATAATGCAGCTTCTGTTTAATATTATCATCTGCATCATTTGTCAAAAGTGGTACTGAGCATTCTTTTTCTGTGGTGCAGTGTCTTTTCATACATCTGCAAATTTCTTACACATAAAAATCTCCTTTGCTGGACAGCTGTATAAGCAAAACTCTCATACCATGATCCTACTGTCACATCTGTTTAGAGAATAAAAGAGCGAATTTAATCAGGTACATACAATACATGGTGGTTAGTTAGTTTCTCTTTCAATACAATGAAAGCATTCTCGCTTACTGTAGTGGAAAGAATGTCCCCTTTTATTGCCTCTACTCTTTTAACAGATCACTCAGTGGAGTGGCTAATACGAAATACATTAGAAATGTAATGCCTGTAGCAGCTTGCTAATCCCAGAAACTCTCTTGTGTCATTCTTAGTTATGGCGTTAGAAAATGTTAATATACAGCTTTAATCTTAATTTGTGACATTTTCCGATAGCAAATAAGCATTCTGTACCGCGCCACGCACATAGGAAACAATCACTCCTCGTGATTGGATATGGCTTCTGATGACATCATTTCCTCCGCTCTCCCTCCCTTTCTTAGTGGTTTGCTTGGGCTCGAGGGTACACCTCCATACCGTTTGCTTACATTTTGATAGCAGTACAAAAAAGATTATTATGTGCGTTGTATTTTTGTTGCTAGAAGATTAAAACACTGTGATAAATTTAATATAAAATATATAGTGATTTTTTTTTTCCTAGAGAGAAAAAGTATTATTTCTTCTTGTGTTAAATTCTGTAAATGTGTATTAAGTGCAGAGATTTTTAATAAATGTATTTTTAATTTAAATCCCTTCATATTAAAGTTGTTACTATTAATTCGTTATTTCATGTTCATTATATATCCATTCTCTGCAGCTAACATAGTACACAGCAAATTCACAATATTTATAAATTAGTCTAAAAAAGTAAAATTTACTTTTGAATTTAGGCTAATATAGATTTAGAACAGAGAAATAAAGTTAGGTATTTTAAATTGAATAATATTACTTTAAGAATATTGCTCATTTTTAAATGTGTAACGTCTTTTGTAGTTTTGCATAAAGATAGTGTTTGTTAGAGAAGAAAATTTATTTTCTTATACACGTGTAATTCAGCGACAATACTTAATACACTTTTTTCTTTCATTTAAGGCAACAGAATATTATAAATGTAAAGACATGGCATTAACATGGAAATATCGTAACGTTTGCGAGTAAATATTTTCTGCAATGCGAAAGGAACAGAATACAACAAAATTGCAATAATTATAATATACTTAAGATGCTTCTAACATTAACAGCATCTTTGATAAATTTTATAATTTTATTATTCTATGAAGCAGGAAGCCATCTGTAGAAAGCTGCAGCTAATTGTTTTCGTTTCAAAGAAAACAAACGATAATTTTCACGCTTCCGTGTCACTAATGCGTGTCATTCAAGGAAAGCAAAATCCTAAGAATCCTGCTTAAAGTTCATTACGCTGAGAGAAAATGATGTCATTCGAAAGTATGTCCAATCACAAGTATAGAGTTTTTCCCTATGCGCGTGGCGCGGTACAGAATGCTTATATGCTTTCCGATAGCCTTGACTTACCACATGGCCCAAGAACGAATAGACATTTAGAAAGTTTAATTGCCAATTTTATTCTAATTATCCACTGCAACATAGTTTCCAAGAGCTTGAGATGATATTCTCACGTTTTTATAGCAAATAACAATATCGTCACACTGCAGAACGTAAGAGTCCTCGCATTCTTTTAATATTATCTCTTCCATCATTTTAGAGGAGAAATAGGTAGCATTGATTAAATCCAAACTTTATGATAATAGCGGTTAAGTGCCAAACTTTGTCACAAATGGTACACTCTGCACACACACATACAGACACACGCACAAAGCGAAACCATATAGTGATAGTGAAATAAATAAATCATGTTTACTTGTGATAGTCGAATAAATGTTTATATGTTAGTTTTTCGGCAAAAACAACTGTTAGAAGAGTTGAGGACATTGTGATCAACATCAAAAGTCAATTAAAAGACGAGACAAAAGCTTTCGTGTGGTTTTTGTTGGTTCTTGATGAATTCGACAGGCATTACTGATTCTCTCCAATTGCCGCTATTTATTCGAGGTGTGAATACTGAGTTTGAGGTGACTGAAAAATTAGCTTCATTGAATGGTTTGTATCGAATAACTAACTGCAGGTCTTCAGGAAGTCCCAGAAAACGTTAACATACAGAGGCTGTTTATACATTTTTAAAATGATTTCGATTAAAAAAAATTTTAAAAGCAAAGTTTTTGTAATTAACATTTTCGGAAACAGCTTATTAATTGAAGTAAGAGAAATCATCTGCTAATCTTTAAAGTTATTCTTCGTTCAAAATGTTGCACGTAAACAAAGTGTGGATTGAAGGATAAGTTTTTGTGCTTTTTTAAGAGAAATATTCCTCTTTTATCATTCAAAAATGTTGTGAAATGTATCCTATTAAAAATTCTAAATGCAAAATATGTACCATTATTAACTGGAAATGAAAAAACCGTCAACACTGAAAGAAGACTCCAAATGAATACCCGAAAAAAGTGCGTACTGTTTCTATTTCTAAAGTTATAACGTTGGTAACGAGAAATTCAGCTAACGCAAAACTTTGTTGGAAAGACATGTTGCTTAGTACCGAACAATGTGTAAAACCTTGTATGAGATCTATACAGCAAGAGATAAATTGAAATACATTATGACCCTTAATGAAACATGGGGTGTATCTAAATGACTTAGGCGGAAAAAGGTCTATTTTATAATCTGAAACGAAGAGGAAAAATTGTACAAATTTGGTTCTATCAATGCAAAGAAAGTTTCGGTAAGGGGTTTATGACTGTTGTCTTGCAGTTAGAAGTTAAGAACATTGGGAGAAACATGTTAAAATCAACTCAATGTACTATCAAGAGAAAGTTTTACTTTTCATATTTAGAGGAGAAGTTCAATTTCTTTATCCCAACGACTTTCAAAGAATGATATTTTGTCAAGACAAAGCAACATA